GCTCTCAAGTGACTGCATTACAAATGATAGTTTCCAGTACTTTGTATGGGATCATTCGTTTTGAACTTGAACTTACAAACGAACAAACTTTGCGTTTAGGAAAAGCCAACTATAGCAACGATGCGATATCTCAATTTGAAAACGACCGAGCATATTCGACAAATAATCTTCCACTTCACAGACTCTTGCTTTTCTCAGGAAAGTTTAACGTGACAGTCGAAGGAATATTTAATGGGATGAAAATGAAAGAAACATTTACAGTATTCAAAACAACCTCTCGTCAACTCGCTTGCATCCAGAAACAGACATATCCAAAAGGTACTTATACTTCAATACAAAATGGGAAATATTATTATATTAATTCAACTGGTAAAACCTTCCCACGAAAGCAAGTGTTCTTCGAAGACGATACGAATAAAAGCATTTCTGTATGTGAGCAGATTGTTTTCTCAAGCTGTGTTGGACGGCGAATCAATCTTACCTCGGAAGAATACGTAAAGTTTGATAATTTGAGCATCTTTTACAACAGAACAAAAACGATTAAAGATTTTGGCGAGTACGAAATCGAAGGTGGGCAAATTTCCATGTGTATTCCTGAAACTTATCCTCAACTAAGTCCTAGTGATTCCCTCGTAATCCAGACATATTTAACTTGGGTTTGTGTTGCTTTATCATTGGTCTTTTTATTTCTGGTTATTCAAACATACGTTCTATTTCCTGAGCTTCGCACCCTTCCTGGTAAAAACCTTCTTAGTTTATCAATGTCGTTATTTCTGGTGCAGTTGCTATGGTTAATTCCTGAACGGTGGTACCCACCCACGCTCTGTTACATAGTAGCTGTTATAAAACATTATTTATTTCTGGTATCGTTCGTTTCTATGGCAATTATTGCGTGGTATACGCACTCGGTGTTTGCAAGCAAAGAAGTTCAGAGGCGAAGACCTGAAAAGAAAAACATTTACAAATACTCAGCGATTGTCTGGGGTCTCCCGGCAATGTTTGTTCTCGTGTGCGCAGTGGTTGACCAGAAAGATATTTACGCAGTTTATGTTAATGAGCTGTGGTGTTTGTTTGATAACGTACAAGCGCAAAAATATCTCTTCGTTCTTCCAGTTGGAGTGATCCTGTTATTCAATATCATATTCTTTGGCTTAACTGTATTTCGTATCCAACGTGTTCACTCAGGCACAAGATTAGTCCATCCAGATCAAAGTCATAGAACAATGTTATGGATATACCTAAAGATATCTGCTTTGATGGGATTCGGTTGGTTATTTGGTTTCATAAATCTGCTTGCTGGGAAATCAACTCTTGTCTTCTCGTATTTGTTCGTAATTTTTGCATCCATACAAGGTGTTTATATTGGTCTTGCGTTTGTGGTGAAGAAACATATTTGGCAAATGTATAAAAAGTTATTGCGAAAAAATCCTGAGAGATTTAAACTTGAGGTCAGTAGTAAATTACTAGAAAGCTTGAAGACCTGCAAGGAAACAACACTATAATCATGGACATCATATAAGTATTCTATTAGTTATAGACAATAGATATTTCATGCATGGGACGCGTGACGTGCAGATATTAGTTATTTGACCGCAGGATTTGATTATGTTTAGGGGATGAATTAGTCATGCTCATAGCGCGCAGTTGGTTGAGATACGGTACAACGTCCGCGCGTATTTACTGTTTGTATTCAAAAGACTGGAAATAGTATTCTCTTCACACGAAGCTCTAGCAAAACGTTCAAAGTAAATTATGAGTGCTTAATTAAACTCAGTATGTCTTGACACAAGGAAAAAGCGGTAAAATTCCCTACCTCAGTTATAGCCTCACCGTTTCCCTATTAATTAATTTTCTGTATTCTTTTATTTTGGGAGACATTTCTCTCGCCATTTCCGTATACTCGCGCCTGCGCTTTACGTTTGATCGCGGTGTTAGTTGAGATGAGCTAAACCTATAACCACGGCGTTTTCTCTATTTAGGTATCATTCTTCACATCACAAATCTTCGCATTAATAGCAAAGTATACCAGCAAATTAACATAAACAATTACAAAAACCACCTGAAAAATAAAACAAAAATGGGAACACTTTCTTTTATACGAAGCCAAAACTTGCAGTTGTCCGAAGGGTTTGAATAGGTATCAAGATCTTCAGTGCGCATAAATCTTAAACAAACAATCAGGGCCGTAGCGATCGGAGGAGGGGGTGATATGAGGGAGGGGGGGGAGGGTGCAACACCCCAATAATTGCTCATGAGTAATTTACTAATTTCATGTAAATTTCCAGAAGATTTTCAGGTAAATTCAGGTAGTTCTTGGAGGATAGAAAAGGAACTCTAGGCTCTGAATCATAATTAGAGTTAACAATCGACCATTTGATTAAGTGAAGACGTTCAGACACATCGTGGCCTGGGGGTACTTTGCCAAATACCGTTGCTGACGATCAGGAGACTCCAAATTGCAAAATTGTTTTTCAATTGATTTTCCTAGTCACATTAACTGTAAGTGACACTGTCATATTGAAAAGTAGTTATTTTACTTATCTTCATTGTTAGGCACTGATCGTGAGTACTGAAACATTGAAATATTGTTAGGAAAGACTATAAAAATGCCATTTCCGACGATCTAGAGAATTCAAATTTTCAAAATGTTTTGTTCGCCGCCAACCATGGTGTTATTAAGTTGGAAAAATTCAGGCAAATCAAACCTAACCCTCCCTCCCCCCAGGGCCGGAGCTACAGGGGTGGGGTGACACCCCTCAAAATTTTATTCGAACCTTCAGTCGGCAGGACTGCTATTCTAGTCGGCAGACAAAAATATTTTTGACGTATAAAACTACTATCGATATAATTTTCACCTGTTATATCAGAAACGGAAACTTTGGTTATTCGAAATTTATTCAGCAGGATATAAACAAACCCAGATCGATAGTTAAACCATATAGTGATACAATCTTAAATGAAGTACATGTAGCATGTTTAATGGGTAGAACAGCTGAATACAATATATTCCCGCCAAAAACTCGATTATCAAATATGGCCATTTAGAACAGGCTTCATTTACAGCACAACGGGCGTAATTTCAGGGACCGCGGAGCAGGGAGGAGACCCCCAATAATTTTCCATGCATATCTGATTTTCATAAACTAAGAATACTGAAATATTTAAGATCAGTAACAATATATTTGTAACTTACATAGCCAAGTATATTAGATTAGAGTCGTCTATTAAGAAACATTTTAACAGCAGTTAGTAATTCGAAAAATGTTAAAATTGCAACCAGTGGAAAACATCTTTTGGAAGCTAAAAGTAAAGCTTGGACGGTTGAAACTGGTTAAAAATTTATTTTAAAATAAATATTTTTAAATAAATTTTTAACCAGTTTCAACCGTCCAAGCTTTACTTTTAGCTTCCAAAAGAAGCAATTAGTAAATTTGATTGCATTTCAGGGGCTCTGGGAGGTCTCAGGTTTCAAAATTATCTGGGGGAGCATGCCCCCGGACCTCCCTAACAAACTCACGCCTTCGGCGTTCGCTTTAGCCCCCTTAATCCAAAAATCGCTCCGCGGTCCGTGAATTTAGTTGACCTCCATCGGAAATTTTAGAAGCTTCCATGGCTAGTATGTGGTCGGTACAGGCTCGTTCGTTAGTCGGTTGAAATGACCTTACACCCCCCGAAGAATTTCCTGAGGACGGCCCTGCTTCCCCAAAGGCAAAGTCCTCTAAACGTCTAAACGGCCCTGCAAACAGTGGAAATCTAAACAACACTTGCTTACGTATAGCTTGTGTCACAGACGCTCGTAGGCAGAAAGAAGGTTGCTAACCTAGTCTATTGCAGACGTAACTAGTTTTAGTGTAACTATAAAATGTCATTCCATTTGACTTAGTTGAGAAAAACAGATATCTTTTCTGAGGACGTGGATGTATTGTCATGACGTGCATATTATCATGACGTAGGCCAGTTACAAACAGTGTATCAAGATTTGAATGATTGGTTAGTCTAATAAATGAATAAATGGAAAGGTCAGAACAACGTTGACTTTCGAGATCTAGAACTTTGAGGGTCATTAAAACTGTCAATAAGTTTGGTTCTCAAACTTGCTCTGTGTTTTTTACAGATGTAATGTATACAAAGGCATTAGAGCGCTTTGATTCTGATGGTTACTGTGATAGTGGATTAATTTGTTGCAAAAAAATGAGCTGTGCGTAGTAAAATGTAACAGCAAGTCTTGTCACAGCGACTGTAATTCAGGGAAATGTTGTAATGCGGATAATACATGCCCCAAAACAAAATGCAAGTTGCCCGACTCCTCTGAATCAAAAGACGACAAGCCTGCTTGGCGTCTTCCACTTTTTATTTTTGTGGTATGTATGGTAGTCTTGATTATTGCTGTGTGTATGTTCGCCTGTTGAAAATCTACACGAAGCGTCAACAACAGAAGTTGGCGTGCAAGGGGTGCCCACAAGGGTCTGCATGATACGGAAGAAGCGCAGGTGGCGGTGGGGGCGACTGTGGTGGCGGCGGTGGGGGCGACTATTGAGGCGGCTGTGGTGGCGAATGACTTCCGTGGTGTGTGACAGTAAAGCACCTAGGAACTGACGAGATTGACCCATATAGCGTTTCATATGGCTTGGAATCCACACTGACTTCGGTTGATGACTTCAAACAACAACTACTGATACTAAATTACTAACCGAGAGTGAAGGCAGTGCAGTAAAATAATTAAAAATATCCAACCGAGGACTTGCTGTATTGACCGAGCGATTGCGAGGTCAATACAGCAAGATCGAGGTTGGATATTTTCCCGTACTGTCTGAACGGTTGAGGTCAGTAAGTTTTTTTTTATATGGCATTGCACGTTTGTAAAAAAATGGCAAAAAGGTCACGCGAGGGCAAAATACAAAGTTCGAAATACTTGCAAAAAAAAACAATTATAAGAAATGTTGTCTTGGTTAGTAGAACTACTCTACAGCACTTTTTGTAGAATACTAACACAGTTTGGATAGTTTTTCATGAAAAATACGAGGTATTTCGTCATTTAATCAAAGCCAACAAATATGAACACAATAAAATTAATAAACAGCATCGGGAAGTGGGTGACTGTAAAAGCCGGAACCCCACCCGGAATACCCAGAACCCCACCCGGAACACCCGGACCCCTCCGGGAACCCCACCTGGAACACGGAATAGCCCGCGAACAGGCTCTCAAGCTGAATTGAGAGCCTGCATCGATGACTAATGAATTTGAATCTCTGCGTCTCAAATCGTGACGCTAAATTCTCATTGGTTAGATGCTATAATTTATATGATTCCGCTGAGCTCTATATATGTCAACTGCTGAACTATGCATAAAAAAACATTAACTGATCAAATTGGTCTTGGCCATCTTATCTCAAAGCACGAAATGTTCTGTTTTGAGAAAACAATATTTAAAACATTTGAACTTTTGCTTGAATATCTTATATTTCGAAAAACAGTATAAACTGTACGGTCTAAATTTAGTTTGCACGGTCTAAATTTAGTTTGCACGAAAGTTGTAAACAACACCATATAAGGATAGACATTCCATACTTAGAAAAACGAACGTTACGAGGCAGATATTCAAATTCATTAGTCATCGATGCAGGCTCTCAATTCAGCTTGAGAGCCTGTTTGCAGGCTACACCCGGAACCACGCCTGGAACACCCGGAACCTCACCTGGAACCGACCCGGAACACGCTGGAATACCAGCTATGAAGTAATGCACGTGTTTCTCTATTAATAATTTACATAAAGATATTACTCGACTATGATTGGTTGATTTCAGTGCAGTTAATCCCAAATAGCAGTGCAATTTTCTGTAATCACAGTGCAATTTTTTGTACTCACAGTGCAATTTTCTGTAATCACAGTGCAAAAATCTGTAACAAACTGATCTGATTGGTGGAAAAACATTGTGATGATTAAATCAACCAATCAGTTTAAAGCAATTTAGTTTAAAGAAGTAACGGTCACAGATTGCTTCAAAACAAAACAAACATGGCGCCACGCTACACAAAGTAAAAGTTGCCTTCGATCGCGTGGAAAATATGGCTTTTATCTTTATTTTTAAATGGAAAAAGCTAAGAGTGATGGGAAGAGCTAAATAAAGGAAGCCTCTGCGAGTTAATGCAATCAATATGGCGTCGTATATTATCGTTTGTAGCGAAGTTCGAGCAACCATCGGGGGTGTTAAAACATGTTTTTGACTTTCATTTTCAGACGTACTTTTAAATTAAATATCCTGGGATGAATTCAATATCAATATCTTCTTCTGTCCATTTGCGTCCAAAAATATTGAGAAATTGCAAACGAATATCAATGGTACGAGCTATCTGATTATAAATAGCCGCCTAATTGCAACATTTCTTTATA